CCAACCTGGTATTCTATGATTCTATGATTTGCTCGTTTTGCACTGGAATTCACAGTAAAGAGCATGTCCTGCATGTCATAAGTTTTCTTGGAGCTCATAGGACTACTGAGTTAACCCTCTGTGTTTACAGAAGATACTTGCTCTGAAAAATACAATTTTCTATGTTTTCAGGCAGCTTTAGAATTGGTTTATCTGCATACAACATGCAGCTTAGCACCGCACCCTCATAAACATAGCTCTGGCTCCAACAGCTTCAAACACTGAATTTCTGTGGGATGCCTGCACTCGTGGGGACCTCGTGCCCTGCAGTTGCCATGGCCCAGAACGCATCCACCGCACAACACAATTATTTCCATTAAGGGATTTAAAGTGATTCCGATGCCAGTTGCAGTGGGAGCGGCTGCGTGCATTTAGGACACATCGCGTCATCTGTGCACCATGGAAACGTGCAGCTGTGCTTGGTCCATACGCCCCATCCTACCGCTCAGCTGCATCACGACACCAGAAACGTGCATTAACCCAGGAACAGGAGCATCACCACCATGGCATTTGCAGGGACTTTGGTGTTCATCAGCTCTTGCCAGTAGATATACGTCTGCAGCAGAAATACCTACCATGACTTGATACCTAATATTTAAAAAAAACTCAGCAAACCAGGATTTTGTGGCAGGATGAGGGCCATTCAACAACTTAGGGCCAAGTGGTGCAGGCTCTCCAGGTTGGGCCAGATTGCAACTTTATTGCTCATATTAAAAAGAAATGAGTAAAGCTTTTGAAAGGATCTTAAAGCTTGCTCTTTAGGAAGTTATGGTGATATGTTTTTATGGATTACCTGAAATTTAGTTTAAAATTAAATGGACAGGAGTCTACAACTGAGGAAGTTGGACAAAAAAATAAATGAGGTTATGACATCCATTTATCTCCAGTGTTTGTTAGATGGGGCCAACTTGCAGATACTGCAACCAAATCATGTCACTCAATTTTATTAAATGAGCTGAGGCAGGCACCAAGAAGCAATGTTCTCTGTAGCAGGGTCAGTGAGGGCAAGGACACCAAATTCAGATAAGGATGCTGTATATATCAAAAGGATTTTTCTCAGAATTCACAGCATTTGCAAGGTTCATGATTGAAGAAATTAGGGATTTCTGTCTATGAATGTCCATTTTCTAGCGGTAGTCATTGCTGAGGAGATCATTCAGAGGAAAGTCCTGTTGTTCTGCAGAAGCTCAAGGGAAGCACCCACTGATGTCAGCCTGGCTGTTGCAGTGAATAATGGCTTCCTTCTTCATTGCAGTCTTGCATACACACTGCTAGTTCCTATTTCAGAGATTTTTAATTAAGCTGAGGCAAAATTAACTAATGCCTGAGTGCCTGGTGCCTCCAGAAGTGCGAAGGTGCAAAGAGATTATAGTAGCCTTTTCTAGAAGTTTATGAGAAAAATGGGTAGTATGGAAGTAATGAGCCACCTTATCTCCATTTTAATGCAGCAAATAAATCAGTTGTAAAGGCAATAAGTAGTTTCTGCGGATGAATTTCTTTATTAAATAATAATAATAGGACCAAGTTTGTGCCCCATAAGTTGCCTGCTTAATATACATTGTTACTGCTGCTATTGCTGAGCATGAAAATAGGAATACAGCCTGTGCATTGTGTGTTATTAGAGATATGTACATATTTGTAAAGGGCAAACCTTTAATAAATCAGTGACGTTGATTTTTTATTGGGTTGGCTTTTTAAGAGCAGTGGGTATGGAGATGGGTTTGGTCCTAATCAGTGTTAGTAGAGTAAATGTGATAATATATAGCCTCTATGATATGTATTTCATATGTATAATAAATATAAAATAAATAGATAAAGTACATATCAAATACATAGATAAAATACATGTATATATTCAAAATAAAATATATATTCAAACGACACATTTTTCCTGAATAATATATATATAGAAATACAGATATAGAAATATGTATTTTATTTGGGGAAAATATGTCATTTGAATATATATTTTATTTTCCTGAAAATAGGTGATAAAAATTGATGGAGATGGAGCCATAAGCAGAGCCTGGTGCCCTCCAGGCGTGGAGAGCTCCTGGACATGTGCTGTGTCCCCAGGCTGCTCCCAGCAGGGCTTGATGGGAAGCTCCAGCCTTGTAGAGGGCAAGCAGTGCTTTTGTGACTGTTCTGCTTTGATTTTGGCTCAGTTCAGTCCCAAAATTAAAGAAAACAGCAGAAACGCATGGGTTTAAACTGGTGTGCAGAGCCAGCAAAGCTTAAGGGTTGATTCTGGGGGGCGTGATGGGTTCTGTAGCCTCATTTTGCTTTTACTCGTTGCAGACAAGCAGAACGATGTGGAGATTCCTTCTCCCACCCAGAAAGACAGAGAGAAGAAGAAAAAACAGCAGCTCATGACGCAGATCAGTGGGGTGAAGAAATTAATGCATAGCTCAAGCTTGAACAACACCAGCATTTCGCGATTTGGTGTGAAAACTGAAAAGGAAGACCATCTGGCCAAGGTATGAGGGATTCTTGCATTTCTGGGAGAACTGATGTTACTGAGAAGCTGGGGATGGACTGGCTGGATGGGCTGCCTCCCCCGTGTAAAGCTGGGGTCTGCATCCCTGAAGTGATGTGGCCACTACAAATGCTGTAGTTAACAGTGCCAGGCCCTCACAGCATGTTCTGTACTCATAATTTCCTTGGAAATATCTGTAAAATAGTAAAAGAAAAAGTGGTGAAGGCTGAGGAAAGCAATTATCAAGCACAGGAACGTGTAACAACGCTGTGTCCAGCAGTCTGGCTGTGGGGCCTTTGTCAGGGCATTTCTCCTTGTTCCTTGGAAACGCACATCACAAATAATTCCCCTGCCACCCGCAGAAATGTCGTCTGCTCAGACGAGTGCTGTGGCGCCAGCCCTTCACAGTGCGCTTTATGAAGTACACATGCTCATGCACTTAAATAATTGCCATTGTGAGGACTGAATTTGCATCTTGTAAAGGTTTTGGGAAAAGCAGAAGATGCGGCGCAAGTGATAACGCAGAATCTCCTTGGAAAATATTGCAACTGTTCTTTTTTTGTCCTTTCAAAAGGAGCTGGAAGACCTGAATAAGTGGGGTCTCAACATCTTCAACGTGGCGAGGTATTCCCACAACAGGCCTCTCACCTGCATCATGTATGCCATATTCCAGGTTCGTGATGTTCTTATCCTGTTTTCCGTTCTTTTACAGCGCTGTCGTACTTTCTCATTGCTTTCTATTTCTTCACCTTCTACAGTATGACATCCTTATTTGTGTGCTTGTTGACTATGCAGGAGCGAGATCTCCTGAAGACGTTCAAGATCTCCTCGGACACGTTTGTGACGTACATGATGACGCTGGAGGATCACTACCACTCGGACGTGGCCTACCACAACAGCCTCCACGCTGCCGACGTGGCCCAGTCCACGCACGTGCTGCTCTCCACCCCGGCCCTGGACGTGAGTTCCCTGCTTTACTCAGTGCTTGGTGGTGGGCAATCATTGTGTCTTAATGGGGGATGGCGGCTTAAAAACATCGCGCTGCCTATGTGAATTTAGGAAAAAAACCCCTAAGCTAAGTCAATCACTGCTTGCCTTTTTTTGGGCTCCCTTTGCTGCCAGGGAAGTCACCATTAAGAAATCACAGCAGCAGCTTTAGGGGTAATCTCTGTTTCATCTTAAACAGCACATGCTGCTTGTAGACCTTTCTGAGTAAATGTCTCATCCGCGGGAAACTAATCTAAAAAGCACAATTTGTTCCTCTAAAGCACCCTCTCAAACTGCTGAGAGATAAAACAGAAGGGCTTTTCTGACCAAATCCTTTTTTACTTCCCAGGCTGTCTTCACTGATTTGGAAATCCTCGCTGCAATTTTTGCAGCTGCCATTCACGATGTGGATCACCCCGGGGTCTCCAATCAATTTCTTATTAATACAAGTGAGTTTGGTTTCAAATTCAATAATAACTACATCTGCAAACTTGGAAACCAATGGAAATGTATTTTCCATTACAGCGAGGTCACAAATGGCGACTTCCAGACTCCATTGCTTTCTCAAAATACTGTGCAGCAAACTAGTTAGGCATTTTGAATAAGGCAGTAATTAAAATGAAAATCCTAAAAAAGAAAGCTATTGTAGTGCAATTTGCAAAGGGCTCTTGAATCTTGTGAGTATTACCACTTGCTAACGTGTAATAATTCTTCCAGTCCCGAGTGCACATTTTCGCAATAATATAAGTAATGCTATTGCTATTGACAACACTAAAGCTAAATATTGTGGTTGGTATTGTGTTCTGCAACAGGCTAAGCATGTATCTTGATTCCAAAATATTGTTCTTTTTTGGACAGTGTGTTTGCAGGATTCATGCTTTCTGTTGTCAGTGATGCTGAAGCCCATCACTAAGTCAGCCGAGTGATATTTTTTTCATTAGAAGCGAGCAAAGGGCCGTGTATGTCATATGCGTGTGTGCGTGGATTAGAAAACCGCATGCTCTTGGCGCACATGAAGCAAAAAAGGAAAACTTTTCCCCATTTATTGCCTAGAGATACAACATTTCAGTCCTGAGGACAAACATTTGCATTCAATATTGCAAATTTTGCATGCTAAGTCACATATTTCTGTTGCTTTGCTAGACTCCGAGCTGGCCCTGATGTACAACGACGAGTCCGTCCTGGAGAACCACCACCTGGCAGTGGGGTTCAAGCTGCTTCAAGAGGAGCACTGTGACATCTTCCAGAACCTGACCAAGAAGCAACGGCAGACGCTCAGGAAGATGGTGATCGACATGGTACGACTGCGCACAGCCTGCTCCTCTTGCACCAAAAAAAAAGGGCTTTTTACAAGGTTGTCCATACTGAAATTGTGTTTTCACTTCTGTAAAGGTGTTGGCGACAGATATGTCCAAGCACATGAGCCTGTTGGCTGATCTGAAGACTATGGTGGAAACCAAGAAAGTAACCAGTTCGGGAGTGCTCCTTCTGGACAACTACACGGACAGGATACAGGTATGGCAGCTGAGTTGCCCCCATTTCCTGTGTTTTGTTAAAAATCGAAGAAACCGTGTTCCTGTTTTTACCATGGCTTTTAAATAGACCACATTTAGAAGCTGCTGACCTAAATTTGCAGCAGCCATTTTATTCTGTTTGGCACCACAGAGAGGTACAAGATGGTCCCATATCTTTTAGGTAAAGGGGATTATGTTTTTAACACTTAAAGCTGCAAACATACACATTCTGCTGAAGTCTACCTATAATAAGGCTGGGTTTTTGAGGGCTCTTGAATTTCCTTGCTGCTTTCCCCCGTGTGTTTCTCCTGTCCAAAACGTATAGCAAGATTGCAAGAATTTAATTTATAACTGTGTACTTTAGGTGCAGCTCTTGCACTGAGCTGAAGTTGGTGATACACAGCCTGTTCCCGGCGTAACCCTTGATTTATAGAAATGGCAAAGCAGCACTGGAACAGGGTTACGTAGTCAGTAGGACAGGAGCATCCTGATCTGCTCTGCACTTTGATGGCCAAATTCTTAAAATTGGACTCATGGGGAAACTCCTGGCATTTTTATTTAGGAGTGGTGATGATAAAACAGGCCACTCCGTTGCTGTCTAAATCCTCGCAGCCGCAGTGAAGTCAGACACACTGACCTGTGTGTGTGGAAGGGATATTATTACTCATTTAATAGAGCAGAAGCAGTTAACCGTCTGAGAAGTGTGGAAATGGATTTTGAATGGTGGGAAGCACCTGCACTCCCAAACAGACCTGTATGATGTAATGAATATAACCACAACTACACCCTGTGTACATAGCGAGTTGTCTGAAAAACATACAGCACATTTTCCTTCTGAACAGGACCACAGCAGCGAGTGTCATATACGGAGATGTTTCAGTGTCAATATTTTTATAGGCCGTTGCATAATCAAAGAGTCTTGTGGTTAAATGTTCTGAATTAAGCAAGCCGATACAGCTTGAAACCATCCTCTTTTTCCACTTGATTTTATGAGTTTTCTGATGAATGTAATTGCAGGTTCTCCGAAACATGGTACATTGCGCGGACTTGAGCAATCCCACAAAGTCTCTGGAGCTGTACCGGCAGTGGACAGACAGGATCATGGAGGAGTTCTTCCAGCAAGGAGACAAAGAGCGCGAGAGAGGGATGGAAATCAGCCCGATGTGCGACAAGCACACAGCGTCGGTGGAAAAATCACAGGTAATTGGCCACGAGCTGCATTTTTGTCCTGCCTGAGCTTGTAGTTCATAAAGCGGAGATGAAATTCATCTGCTTTCCCTAGCACAACTGGGCAAGGAGCCAACTGCTGAAAGGGTTGGTTCTGATTGACCCTGACATCCAGCTGTGCCTGCAGCTCAGGCAGCCTCCTCTGTGCACCCCTTGGCGGCTCCTCATTTCCCTGTGTGTGCTCATCTCGCCCTGTTTGTGTCCCAGTTTCCAGAGCGAGTTGTGTTCCTTGGGTCCCCCAGGCTTGAAAAGCGCAGTTCTGATCTCCCCTCCTGCCAGGTCTCTTCTGCCTTCACTTCTCCTCCATCCTCAATCAGCACCTCCTAAACCTCCCAACATGGCACCCCGTGTAGGCATTGACAGCAGCTGCAGGGTTAGGAACTTCTCCCAGCAGAGATCCACTTCAGGACACTGGAAAAATCTTTTATTAGTAGTAGTAGTAGTATTAGTCTTAGTATTCTTACTCTTATTCCTATTCCTATTCTTCTTCTTCTTCTTCCTATTATTATTATTATTGTTGTTGTTGTTATTATTATTATTGTTGTTGTTATTATGTCAGCCATTATTCGTGCAGAACAATTTTGCAGTGCACAATCTGTCCGGTGAAGTTCGGGGGCTGATGCAGCTGCTGTGCGCCGGGCAAAGTCAAAAGAAATATTTACTTCTGTCAGTACAAAACCTTAAAAAGGAGCTGGATATGTCTTGGTTTTTTGAGATCAACTGGCACATCCCTCCTTCTGATTCATAGATGAAACGGTTTCAAGGTCAGATTTTGTTCTGACCTGTGTAGCACGGGCCATAAAGCTTCACCCAGTTAGTCCTTAATGAAGCCGGTAATTTACATTTGCCTAAACATATTCTGGTCTTTATATAATAGGGTCTTGGTTGTTGTTTTTGAATGACTCGAGCAAGTCATCATCGAGATTTTTCAGCTTGAATAAGTAACAAAATTGATGGTAATTATTTCCAAATGTCCTCTAGGGCTAAGCCAAGTGGTTTCAAAATTATTCACTCAACCGCATGGTGATTTTGTTGGAAAAATCTGTCTTATTTGTTAATCTAACAAGAAATGAATCCTTGGGCCAGCCTTGGCCAGAAAATGCCCATGTGCTGCGCATGTGAGCTCCAATTCAATGTTTGCTTCACATATGCACTTTGCAGAGATTTCAAAATGGCATTTTCTGTAAAAAGAACAGGAATTGCACGAAATGGCTCCCAGTGAAATCCCAGATTTGTCCAGGGTGAAAAAGGTGGCATGTCCAGTGTGGGGTGACACAAGGAATAGGTAGGAAAATAGTATGTGAGTATTTCAGCACTCTGGGTGGTACCTCTTGACATCCAAATATCCTAAGATCAGTGCTCAGCCATCTGGCTGCTATTCCGTATTTTGGGATGTTTGTTTGAAGAAGCAATGACCTGGATGTGCAGTGACCGCTGTCAGCTGTTGGTGCTCTGTAGCCCTCGAGCCATCAGCTTAACCATACAGATTATATTATTTTTCATTTAAAAACTGCTCTGGAACATATGCTGCAGGAAATGTTCATCACCTTTAGTGCTCACGGCTCTGTTGACATCCTGTTGTGTCTGCGGGACCCATGCGCCTTTCCCAAAGCAAACATCCGAGCTTGGAGCCTGGCCCCTTGGAGAGCCCTTTCCCTGCTGCTCAGAAATGCGACCGGCGGCTCCGAGAAGCGATGCGTCCTGCCAAGACAGAAGAATTTCACTGCTCTGCTCAGCAATCCAGTGCTCTCCATCCTGGACCTACGTCCTCTCTGCTCAGACAACTGGGAAATGACTGAGCTCAGGGCTTAGATCCCACCGACGCGGCCGTGGTCCTCACTATTTCCACCGCGGGCGTCTGAAACAGTGGTCCATTCACCTTCAACACAGGACGAGCGCTCTTTGGGCTGAGCCCACCCGATTCCTGTGCTTTTTCCAAAACCAACGGGAAGGGAAGCTCTACAGGGGCCTGCTCTGCAGAGAAACGCAGTGGCTGCTTTGGCAGAGGAGAAATGTTGAGACATTTAAAGATGCAGCACCACAAAATGGCTCAGGATAGGTAGGAAGTACGCACTGCAGTAATATATGAACTACACATCATAGTAAAATATGCCTAAAAATCAAAACTTCAGTCTGTAAAAGCAGGGTCATTCAGTGCCAGGAAAGGAAACAATCTGCTCCTGCTTTTCGTTAACCTTTCGTCCAAGGTTTGTTTTTGGACAAGATGTTGACCTAATCTAACGTTGTAGGGGCAGCTTTGGGTATCCGAGGGTTATGTCTGCAATTATTTGAGGGCTTGCTCCGAGGCAGGTATTTTGCTTGTAAAAAATCATGTATTTCATAGTGTCCGAGCTTTTTAGACCCCTGCCTGCTCACACCTGCTTGTTTTTGTGTTTCTCAGGTGGGATTCATCGACTACATCGTCCACCCGCTGTGGGAGACGTGGGCCGACCTGGTGCAGCCGGACGCCCAGGACATCCTGGACACGCTGGAGGACAACAGGAACTGGTACCAGAGCATGATACCTCAGAGCCCATCGCCCCCGCTGGAGGAGCGGGGCAGGGACTGCCAGGGCCTGATGGAGAAGTTCCAGTTTGAACTGACGCTGGAGGAGGAGGATTCGGACGGCCCGGAGAAGGATGGCGATGGCATCGCCTACTTCAGCAATACAAAGACGCTCTGCGTGGCTGACCCGGGCGAGGAGGCCAGCGTGGAAATCGTGACAGAAGACACATCTCCCGTCGACACATAATGTCCCGTGCCCCCCGTGTGAGTGGATTTGAAACGCGTGGGCGGTCTCACGGACTGGCCCACAGCCCGGGTCCAAGGCCTTGTGTCCAACCTAGGCTGAAAGATCCTCCCAGCTACTTGAGATTGAGTCGGGGTTCAGGATGGTGTAGGGAATTGCTCAGGAATTACAGGTGATTTGCGGTGGGGTTTGAGCCTCGTCAGCCCAGAGCATCCTCTTGTCCGGGAGCTGGCTTGGGGCACGACTGAGGAGTAACGACACACAACTGAGAGATTTTATACTGTTAATTTGGGAATTTATACCAGTTAGACCGATAGCAACTACTGATTAACAACTCTCCATAGAAACCCTGTCCACCTGACCACCTGTCTGCAGACCTGTGTGCCTTCTTTGTAAACACTTTCATGTCTTTCTTCGGGAGTCTTTTAATTCAATACACGGCGTTTAGTACGAGCAGCGACACAGAAGCGTTTCAGAATTGACCGATAACTTTTTTGATTCTTCCTGTTACCAGAAGCAGTCTTCCTTTTTTTCATGGGCAATACCTGTCACTTTATCACAGTTCAGATCACTTTTACAGACTAAATCGAAGGGAAAAACCCCTCTGTTTTGCATTACTGCACCTTTAATCATCTTCTTAATACCCCAGTTGACCCGTTTCAAAGCTCCCCCATGCCCTCGTGCACCTTATTCGTTCGCTTGCTAGGAAAATCAGTATTTTTCCCCCGCGAGGTGTTATTTTGTCGCACACAACGCAGTACACCGATACAGGCGAGCGCGTCTCCCTCGGCGGAGGCTGCACGCTCGGGTGTTGGTGTTTCTCCCATTTGCCTTCCCTAGGTTTAGCTCCACCGTCCTCCTGCACTGCCTTGAGCTCTAACACCTCCATTACTGTTTATAACAGTGTATTTATTACCTAATGTATATACTGTAATGTTTTGTAAGTTATTAATTTATATGGATTAACATTGCCTGTCGGCGGCGGTGTTAATTGTGTAGAAAACTCGGAATAAGAGTTGCCTTTTCAGTTTTTTTTCTCTCTCGTAACCTTTTGTATTGCATAAAATACCAGAACCTGAACACAGCTGAAGAGACAGACGCAACCCAGGACGGGCATTCGGGTGGCAGCCGCCCGTAGGGGGTCATCACGGCCAGATTTGGGGGGCATGTGGGACCCCCAGGCAGCAGGTGGGTGGTTGGAAGTGCTGAAAACCCAGAGGGGATGGGGGGGGAACCAAAGAAATGAAAGAAAGCCCCATGAACGGGCCAGCTTTTAAATGTCACGTTCCAGTTTCTGAACAACCCAATGTGAATTTCTATGACGAAAATGTGAACTGATGTAATAATAGTGCTGTGAAACTTCTTCTGACAAAGCTTGTCCGGCATCATAAGCGGTGCCAAGCTCGGTTTGTAAAATACGTTTCAAGCTTTTTGGTCCAACTCGTGACTGACTCGTTCCTGAAAAATAGCACAGCTGTGCATGAGCAGTGGGTTTGTTTGTCTGTCGAGCACCGCGTCGTTCCGGGTGGTTATTTTCTTGTTTCCAAAAGTTTCACACAATGTATGTTATAGTATTCTATATTGTGTTCAGATGCATTCTTAAGAGATTTTTATATGAAGTGAATAAAATGAGAGCATGACCCTGCCCATGGCTTTCTGCGCTGGTTTTTTCTTGGGAGGTTGGTGTGGGCCGTTTCTCCACCGGGGGGCAGAAAACCGACCCCTCCTGCGCCCAAAATACGGGGGACACACGGAGATGGGAAGAGCGACGTCCCTGCACCCCGTTCACTGCTGCCAAAGCTTCCTTTGCCTTCTGGCCCAATGCCGGTGGCCGTGGCGACAGGAAGGCAGCGCAGACAGGAAGGCCATGGCCGCCGGCGCGGCCTTTGCTCACAGCCGCTGTGGGAGCTTTCATGTCCCGACCCGACCCAAAACAACCGACTTTCCAGTGAAAATACAGCCTAAGCAACCGACTTTCCAGTAAAAAACATCCTAAACAACTGGCTTTCCAGTAAGAAACATCTTGCCTGCAGGCAGTGATGGGGCAAGGGGACGGTGAGGACCCTCCAGTTCCTGGCAGTGGGAACTGGGGATGGCCCCGTGCTGACAGGCCCCACCACCTCCCAGGTGGTGTCACACAGCACCTTGCGGGGTTTTCACCACCCCCGGGGATATAATTAGTATCGGCTGATACCGATTTATCTTTTCCCAGTGAATTCACCCTGTTCATTGTTCACATCCGCCTGTCCATGGTGGCTGCATACAGGCAAAAACCTGTAGTTCTGGGTGGAGAAAGCTGCTGAGTGGGACAGACAGCGAGGAGCTGGCATTGCAGGTGAACCACCATGAACATGGGAGGTCCATGGTGTGTGGGGCCAACATGGGGGTCTCTGTGCTGTCCCCCTCCCCTCCCAGCCTTCACTCGTGTTATTTCTTCCCCTCCCCATGACCTATTTCTGCCAGGCAGCAGCTGCAACGTTAGCAAATGGCGCCAAAATATCGGGCTGCTCTCACTTCTCCCCAGCACCGGCAGAGAAAATGCTCCCGTGGCAGCAAAACCAACCTGCATCCCTCCAGTTCTTCTGGTTTTGGGGTGGGAGATCCCAGTTTGGATGCAGAGTGGCTTCTTTTTCTTCCTTTACTCGGAGACAAGGATGGATCTTGGCTCTGGTTTATCATCCCCATGTCCAAAATTCCCCAGCACCCATGGGGTTCATGTAGTTTCCCTTGACATCAGAAGCGCGTCCATGCACGGGCAGCCATGCAGTGCTTCCTCCTCGCATGTCAGAGCATGGATGGAGGCTGCTGGTGGGTGCCTGCTCCCCCCCAAACCCAGAGGGGTTAAGAATCACCACTGCTCATATATTAGGGGGTAAAATGTGAGGAAAAACCAAAATATGCAGCAAATGGGGTGCAGAAGGTGAGCCTTTCCATAGAGGGGGTGTTTTCTTGGTGATCTTAGAGGTCTTCTTCCACCCCAATAATTCTGTGATTCCCCAATTCTTGCATCTGCAACCTGGGCATGCAGCTGGGGCCTGCCCCTCAGGCTCACTGGTGCTGTGCCCAGGAGGGTCTGGGTTGTGTGGGGGGAGTCCATGGCACCCAGCTGGGGTGGCCCAGGACCCCCATTCTTGGGGTGCAGGATAAGGGGAAGCACACACGTTGGAAGTCCCCAACAGCCCCTACTGGTGCGGTGGCAGCCATCCCTGGGGACATCGTTTCATGCTGAGGCCACTGAGTGGGGTTTTGGGGGGGTTTCCACCAGCTGGAACCTCCCCAGTGGTGCTGGGAGTGGCGCTGGCCCTTCCTGGCTGCCTGGGGCGTGGGGACAAGGGGCTCACAGAGTCCCCGCTGCTGCCAGGAAACTGCTGACCTCCAGGTCGACGTTGTTCATAGAAACCGTGATGCAAAGAAATGAAATAACAAACGGCTCTGGCTGCTTTTCCCCTGTGCCTGCTCCCTGGGGTGGGGATGCTTTTCTATGGCCTTTTTGTCCCCGCTGGTCTGTAGGAGCCAGCGATGCCGGCACAGGG